TTTTTTCGGAAGAAATGAGCCACGAACAACTTTATGTCTTGCGATAAATATGTTGTTGTTGTTCTCGTGGTCTTGGAATATTGGCTACAACACTGTCATTGTGTAAGAACAGGTCGTGCTGTTTGTGTTGTTGCTGTCGGTTAGTTTCTGCTATTAAGCGATTATTTAACTTAATATTGCTAACTTCAAGGCTGAGTTCGGCGACATTAGTCACCGCACTTCTCACCCACTTTTGTTTTGATGCATATCGATCGTGCGTATCTGCGGCCTTTTTCTCCAAATGTTCTCTTACTATTTGACGTTGTTCGATATCAGCTGTCAGTTGAGTATGTCGATCACGTTGTTCATCATGTTCTTTTTTCTTCTCCTGAACTTCATCGGACAGTTGTTGAAGGCGTTCACTCGTTTGACGAAGACGTTGCTCTGTCTCCGCTACTTTACGTTCGCTCATCTAAATACATTTAGCACTCGACTGACATTTCTTTTTTCAAACACAACGTCACACTCACCTGCTTGGCGACTTCTTGTTTATGTATGGCTTGTGTGGTTTGATTTATGTTTCGTTCATTCTCTCGCATACTTTGCTCATTTTCACGAATCTGTACTTTGACACGCTCAAAGTGAGCAGTACGTTCCTCGAACTGCGACTGAAGTTGAGTCTTTTGTTGTTCTTTCGTCTGCAAGTCGGCAGTGGTGTTCTTAACTTCACCACTCTTTTGCATCATGTCTCCATTTTGTGTATCTAGCTGATTCTTGAGATCTTGCATGTGTTTATCCAGTTGTTGCTTCTTCTGTTGCATCGCCTCCACTTTTGCTTTCAGCTGCTGCTGTTCGGCATTGAGTTGTTCACTTTTGGCTTGTTCTGTACGTAGAGTATTTTCTTGTGTTCTCTTTTCATTTTCTAACTCAACTTTGGTCTTATTGGCTAATGCCAGATCTTGATCGATGAGGCCGAGTTTGTTCTTGGCTTCTTGCGCCACTCCTTGTTTTGCTGTATGTTCAGCTTGTTTGGCTTCGACTTGCTGTTGTTTCTGAGCAGCCAGGGTTTCTGTCTCTTGAGCAGCTTGTTGTTTCGCCGTCAGTTGTTGAGTGGTGGTCTTGAAATTAGCTTCTGCTGTCTGATGTTTGGCTTGAGCATCTCTCAAAGTGTTCTCTGTGGTAGTAAGTGTTTGTTGAGCTTGTGCCTGATTTTTCTCTAATTCTGATGCTTCTCTTGTCAGTTGTGCTACGTGTTC